CTCTCTCTCTCTCTCTCTCTCTCTCTCTCTCTCTCCTCTCTCTCTCTCCCTCTCTCCTCTCTCTCTCTCTCTTCTCTCTCTCTCTCTCTCTCTCTCTTCTTTCTCTCTTTCTCTCTCTTTGTTCCCCCCCTCTCTCTCTTCTCTTTCCTGTCTTTACCCATAGCCTCTATCCTGGATCCTGATGTAAGGGATGCTGGAACACATCGAGCCCTGTAAGATCAGCAGGTTGTTTTCCTTTCTGTTGCCGTTGTCTCCCTTTATTACTTCTTGACGTGTAAGTGACGGGCGTCTATCACTCTTGGGCTCAAATGGAAGAATATGCAGCGGCCCATAAACCTCTTTTCTGGAAAAGAAGTTAAAAGATGACGACGTCCGCTTTACCGCTCAGGCAACACAATCTGCCTGGACAGCACATGATGACGTAATTCGCTAAAAGCATATATGTTCGTAAGCACGGTAACACATGTCAAACGGTGGCCCAGAAACAGAAAATGCCTTTATGCACTCACCTTGTTGTATGCATTAGTGTAACGTAACAACTCACTAGTCTGTCACTCAGTCTGTACTCAGAACACAGTCCTAGTCTGTGTTCTCAGGGTATGACACTATAGCCTAGTAGCTTCTTCTCCAGTATCTAAAAGAATGCTTCACTGGGACGTTCACAGATATATTCCTGAAGATTTCCTGCTCGCCGGCTACAGCGTTTTGCTTCGCGTTTTGAAGAATTACGGAAATGGAGATTTGCAGTCATACTCCGGTGAAACGTTACGCTTCCCTTCCCTGCTATACTGACATGCAGGGTAATCATGATCATTTGTAATCTCGCCTATTTCCGGCATTCTCGGCTGCCTTCAGCCGATCCCCTCATCTTCCGCGTTTCTCCAAAGCTGAGTCTCATCTTTGTGTGGCCTTGTCGACCTCGTCCAAGGCTTGCCATGTTTGACGTGGTCGAAGCCACAATTGGCAAATATAAGCCAGCGGTCGCTTCAGCCTTTCTCGAGATCCTTCCTATCAATCTTTCCTCCGATCCGACCAACCGCGCCGTGGCCAGGCTCACCCTCACCTCCCCAAGTGACCACGTCAACCCTCTCCGCGGTCCCACGCACCCTCCCTGCTCCTTCACCGACTCCCACGAGATCCACCTTAACGTCATCCGGCTGTCCGGCGGTCACCTCTGGCCGCATCTGAGACATTCGTCAATCCTTCCCCGGCGGCCAGACGAGAACTGAAGCCTTCGTCAGGCCCGCCCTCGCCGCCATCCCATCAGCTCCTCGCGCGACCGCTGCCCCGGCATTGAGACGTGAATTGAAGCCTTCGTCAGGCCCGCCCTCGCCGCCACCTCATCAGCCCTTCGCGCGACCGCTGCCCCGGCATTGAGACGTGAACTGAAGCCTTCGTCAGGGCCACCCTCGCCGCCACCCCATCAGCTCTTCGCGCGACCGCTGCCCCGGCATTGAGACGTGAACTGAAGCTCCGCTCACGATCTCCCCGCACGCAATCTCCGCATCAGCGCGCAGCACGAGTAATTCATCAGATTCCAGAGATAACAATGAGTGGCTGATTGCCAACCACTCTCGAGATAAAAAAACAGCCGAATAACAACCACAAAAACGGCTGGGAACACCAAAGGCTGAATTTTCCATCCCAGAGCGTTTCTTTGGTCCGACGGACGGTTGGGAAAGCATTTGAGATATGGCGAATATGAGCACGAGCCGAACCCGTAAAGCACGATGCAGCGCGTCCTTTGTCGTTCCAGATATGACGAAAAGTTGGCAGTCGATCGCGTAGTCCGTATATAGCTGCATTCATATGCGTAGTGCCACCGCTGTTAGCTGCCATGACATCGTGATCGCCTTCTCCAGTCTTGAAGAGGCTTCGATGACATTACTTTCCAGATAGCAGCATGCAGTAGTGAAGATGACATGTTCGTTGATTAGAAGTAGAATCGGTAGCCCACCCATGTAGCCGACCACACGAAAGCACGCGCTCACCTACGGACCCGTCCCGCATTCAGCCTCATGCTCCCAAACAGCGTCTGGCTGACATGATCCTGCGAACGCACCAGCGGGGGCCCCATGTGACCAATCTCGCGCCGCCGGGGCCCGGGCGGTGGTCGCTCCACGCCTGCCGAACGTTCCGTGGCTCGCGCAGGTGGTCCCGCCGGGCGACTCAGGTCCGCCGCAGCGTCGCGCCCAGCCGGCAGATGGCGGGTCGTCTCGCCGCGTCCCGACTGGTCCTCAAGGACCGCCAGCTGCAGGCAAGTTCGCCGTCCGGTCCGACCGGCGCCGGCGCCAGGTGAGGTCTTGCCCGCCAGCCCGGCAGGCTCCGGCGGCGGTACTGAGCCCGTCGCCTCCGCCAGCGACACCTGAAGCAGGCGGGGGCGGCCGGAGAGGCGCCTGATCATCTCTCGGGGTCGTGTGGCGGACAATCTGCGGCAGAGCACACGACCTCTAAGGTGACCCGGCCGAGTCGAGGCCGCCGTCAGGCATCAGTAGCGCTCTCGCTGGGCTCTCGATGAGCTACCGCCGGGCCCTCGAGGAGCTCCCGCCTGGCCCTCGAGGAGCTCCCGCCTGGCCCTCGAGGAGCTCCCGCCGGGCCCTCGAGGAGCTCCCGCCTGGCCCTCGAGGAGCTCCCGCCGGGCCCTCGAGGAGCTCCCGCCTGGCCCTCGAGGAGCTCCCGCCGGGCCCTCGAGGAGCTCCCGCCTGGCCCTCGAGGAGCCCCCGCCGGGCCCTCGAGGAGCTCCCGCCGGGCCCTCGAGGAGCTCTCGCCGAGCTCTCGAGAAGTTCTCGCCGGACTCTCGAGGAGCTCTCGTCGGACTTTTGGCGAGCTCTCGCTAGGCCCCAGGATCGGTATTTTGATGTACTCTGTCAGCGCAGCACCTAGTGAAGCCCTCGGGGTGTTACTTCGCCGGTTAAAGAACTACAGCCTGGGATGCAGTCAGCTCTGCATGAACTCACGGTGGATGCAAACTATGCAAGAGAGTCAAGTTGTTGTCATGTCGCGAGGGAAGCGGGAGCTTTATCTTGTTTCCACACCTACGATATTTGCGACTGCTGTGTGCTCCTGGAGCAAAAGAAATACGCCATGTTTATTATGAGCTCCTCACGAAAGGAGTTCTTGAATAGTTAGATGTGCATTAAAAATGGGACACGGTCTATGATTATATGCAATACCCAAAAAGGAAGGACATCACCGAGACACATCAGGGTAAACAATTACGCTGATATCTGTAATATCCGCAGTTCGCACGTGGTTAACAAATAATGTAAAAACTACCACAGGTAAGACAAGCGTACACGGAACAAAAACTTTTTTTAAAACACAGCTTACCGTAGCCGAATGTAAAATAATTCACAAATTTCACAGTAAGAGCGATCCTTGACTTTCTTTAAGATCCGAAATGAAAGAGGGAGTTCGCGTGATATCCAGTCATCGTCTCCCAACACTATCACCAGCAGCACTCCTACCGCTTAAGCCCACATTTTTTTAAACACCATAGATGGTTCCTGACAATAAAAAGAAGCGTGGTGATTTCTCACTGAGCTCTCCGACTTACCGACCAGTGTTAAGCTCTAATCTAACCTCTATCATGTGATGTATATCACGTGATGTCCATCACGTGATGTCCAATATTTTTCATGGACCGTAGTAAATTGGTTGCCTGTAGGAAGTTTCGCGGTTTTGTTGTTGGCAGTACGTACATGCCCTCTTGATCTGAATATTTTCACCCCGTTCAGACATTGAACGCATGAAACATAGGATGCAAAACTCGATCAATCTAACATTTCAATCTAACGAACAGCCTAACATTTCATTTTTAGCCCCGATGCATCCACAGGTATAATACATGGGTCTACCAGATGCCACTGAAGTTACAAAAGTCAGTT